CTTCTAATCTATTCCACTGATCTTTGGGTTTTTTTCTTTGCCAGAACCATGCTGTTTTTATCACAGTAGGGAAGAAGGATTATTTAATGGTACAGAACTTGTCTGTGATGATGAAAAAATTCTAGAAATAGTGGTTACCAACATTATAAATGTATGTAATGCTAATGAATTATAGATTTAAATAACAAATTTTATGTTGTATATTTTTATGACAATAATCTTTCAAAGAACCAACTCTTTGATTTGTTGATTCTTTGTATTTTTTTTTGCATTAATTTCAGCTCAGATCTTTATAATTTCTTCCCTCATACTAGCTTTGGGGTTGAGTTGCTGTTCTTTTTCTAGAAGCTTGAGTTTCAGCATTAGGTTGTTTATTTGAATTTGCTCTGTTTTTCCGATACACAAATTCACCACTATAAATTTCCTTCATAGGACTGCTTTCATTGTCTCCCATAAGTTCTGATATGTTGCATTGGCATTATTTAATTGTAGAAACTGTCTAATTGCTTCTTTAATTTCATCTGTGACCCATTGTTTCTTCAGGAGGGTGTTATTTAATTTCCATGTGTTTATGAAATTCTTGTGGTTTCTTTAGCCATTGATTTGCAATTTCATTGCACTATGTTTGATAATATGCATGGGATAATTTCAATTCTTTTGCATTTACTTAAGGTTGTTCTATGAGCTAGTATGTGGTCTATTTTGGGGAAAGTTCCATGAGCAACTGTGAATGTGTATTCTGATATTGTTGGGTGGAACACTCTGTAGACATCTACTTAGACAATTCAAAAGTTTGGTTCAGTTATAATATTTAATTGTTGATTTTTTGTGTAGTTGCTCTGTCTGTTTGTGACAGTGAGGTATTGAGGTCCCCCATTACAGTTGTATGAGTGCTTATTTGATTCTTCATGTCCATTAATATTTGTTTTATATAGTTATATGCACTAATATTTGGTGCATGTATATTTATGATCATTATCTGTTGCTCTTGGATTGTTCCCTTTTCAAAGATACAGTGACCTTCTTTGTCTCTCTTAATCAGTCTTGGCTGGAAGTCTACTTTGTCTGCAAGTAGAATAGCTACCCCTTCTTTTTTCCGGGTTTTTTTTTTGGTACCAGGGATTGAACTCAGGACCTTGCGCCTGCAAGGCAGGCAGCGGAACCTCTGAGCTAAATTCCCGGCCCCATTTTCCATCCTTTGATGGCCTCTTGAGTGCTGGGATTATAGGGATGCACCACCATGCCTGGCTCTCACATGTTAAAATGATGAATACAGGGAGCAACAAAATAACTTCATGTTATACAAAGATGTCATTGTCACAACAAAATAATGTATCAGCAAGTCTACCTGAATCTAATTCCTTGTAGAATTCAGAGCAGTTTTTTAAAAAACTCCAAATAAAAACTAAAAAACAGACAAAAGCATTACAATCACACTCATACTAAACTTTGAAAATACCATCAGCTGTGCTGATCATTAGCTCAGTGTTTGGCATATGTTAGGTGCTGTGCTATGTCATTCAAGTTTCCCAATATCTTTGTAGATTTTATTACTTTTAATTTTGTAGATAAAGGAATAGTTTAAGGCATTGAATGACATGCACAAGTATTAGAGAATGAAGATTTGAATCCAAATTAGCCTAATTTCAAATCCAAAGCTTTTAACTACTTTAGAACTATATAATAATAACTGGGGTTTGAAGAGGATAAAGAAAACAAGAATAGGGGAAATTACTTCCACCGGATTTTAAAAAGGATTGCAAAGCTTTGTCAAAATGCTGTGATTGTTAGTGCAAAATAAGACATTAACTTATAGAGGTAACCCCGAAATGGTCTATTTCAGCTAAAGAGTTTTTATCAACTCAGCATGAAGTAGATATCACACAAATGGAGATACAATAATTTATTTTACAACTGGTATTAAGGGCTATCCGTGTGCAAGGCCCAGGTTTAGATTGGCACTACTACTACAAAAAAAGAAATTAAATAAGTGTGAACCTTAAAAAGTAGTGTTAAGACATTTGGTTCAGTGTTTCGGAAAAATGACAACTTAGAATTTTATTTATATTAAAATAAATTTCAGATTTAAAGTAGATGGGTTTAGAAAATCCGGGTGAATTTTTTTTTTAAACAAGGTCTTGCTATATAGTTCAGGCTAATCTTGAACTTGCTGTGTGGCACAGGCTACCCTTGAACTTCAGATCCTCCTACCTTAGCTTCTCAGTTGCTGGGATTACAAATGTGCACAACAGTGCCCAGCTCAGCCGAATATTTTGAGTTCTAAAGTTTAGCATTATTTCTGTTGTGAGTAATTTTATTTGCTTAGTTGTGTAGTTGGAACTTAATTTTCTAAATCTTTTAGGATAGACAAAATGTTAACTTTGGTTGATAAAATGAGAACATTTTGGGAATCCTGTTTTTTTAAGCTTTCTAGACTGTACTAGTGTTTGATAACTGAGGACTTGTGTAGATTACTGTACCATACATAAATGAGCAGCCAAGAAATGGGAAATAGTTTCTATTTCTCAAGGTGTTATTTTATATTCTGAAATCACAAATAATGCCAATATCAAATCATTCACTAAATATATTTTAGTGAATAGAAAAAGAAAATGCAGCTTGCAAAGTATCTTTGTAACAACCAAGATTTGTTCTAATTTATAGTCTACTTAGTAAAATATAATTTATAATCTTACTTCCCTGAGCTGAGATTTTATGTGTTGTATAAACTATAGTTAAATGTTTACTAGAAAAATAATAGATTGAATTGATAGGATTTTCAAAGAAGATATTTGTAACAAATTTAGAGGAAGATAGGGCTGGAAAAAGGACAGGTTGAGCTCTTGAACAAATTGATACGAAAAGGTAAGAAGGTTTGCAATTTGAGGGATGGCAAAAATGAAGGGACAAGATAGTGGATTTCAAAATAAAGAAATAATTTATATAGATGATTAATAAATTTTATTAGTGGAATATGTAAAAGATGATTAAAATATGGAGTGGTTTGGACTTAATACTTGACAATAATTTGACAAGTATTGGTGAGTTAGTCATTGAACAGTTAGGTGAAGTTTCTCTTTTTTTTAAGTCTTGTTTTACTTTTGACACAGAAAATGCTGGTAAATGCTAGTAGTTTAATTTTCTTGAGTAGAAAACAGCTCATAATAGATTCTTTATATTTGTAATAGGTAAGGAATTTTTCAATGGAGATTGCTCTAGTCTAATATTTAATTATATATTTTCCGTAAACATGTATATTTGAATTTTCTTATTCAACTGACATTTATACACTTAGGCTTTGCAGAAGATAAGTTAGAATCTTTTCTATCTAATGGTGGATGTGGAAACCTTTAAGACAGTATTGTAAGTATAGAAAGAAATGGATTTTCTTCTGTAGTTTACATTTAAAATTTATTCATAGCTGGAATGATGAATGTGATTTCTGTTTATGTATTTCTTACTCTAAACCTGTAACAGTTTGACAGATGATAACGTAGCCATGCCTTAGCCTTTTCTTACTTATAAAAGGAGACATATTTTTAGGACTGATTTAGGAATCTAGTCTTCTTAAGCAAAACTTTTTTTTTAAACAGAGGTTACGCACGGAAAATAGACTTTTAAAACAACGCATTGAAACATTAGAAAAAGTAAGTAAATGATTATTGCAAGTATCTATTGAATGTTTATTTTTCCATATATTTTAAATAAATTCTGAAAAATATTGCCATGTGTGTCTCCATTGTGATATTGACTGCTTAGCTTATCTAGCTTATTATTTAACCAAATAAGTATTAATAAAAGTTTGTACTAGCAAACTGAGGTTATTATTGGAGTGACATTAATGTTATTTCTTACAAATGTGAAAAAGTATATTCTTTTAATATCTAGTTGGGAATCCATTGTGATATTATAGTTTCTTTTACCGGGAATCGAACTCGGGTCCTTCTGCTTGCGAGGCAGGCGGCGGAACCACTGAGCTACATCCCCAGCTGTGATATTATATTTTAAAGATGAGTTTCAAATGTTGTATAGTCTTACTAGCCACATGTATCAATGATTCCTTTAAAACCTAGAATTAAGTTTAGTCAAATTGACTGATTCCTTATCTAAAAAATTCAATCTCAAAAGGATTTTCTGCATAAGGAAGTTGTACGTAAACTTGGTTAGAAAAATTTTTGGTGTCTACTTATTACCTCTTCTTTGTGTCATATAAAATAACTGGCAAATGTGGACATTTTTCATTATTTTTCATACTGTGCTTTTAATGTAGTGTCTTTTTAGTTGTGTTTCTGAGGCAGTGAGTTGAGTAATAAAAGCATAGTTTAAGAATTTTGCTTTGCCAGGCATGGTGGTGCAGGCCTGTAATCCCAGCACTCTGAAAAAGAGGCTGAGGCAGGAGGATCCCTGTGAGTTGAAGGCCAGCTGGAACTGAATTATGCAGCAAGACACTGTCTGGGAGGAAAAAAAAAACAAACCAGGGCTAGGGATTTAGCTCAGTGGCACCACGCCTGCCTCACAAGCACAAGGTCCTAAGTTCGATCCCTGGTACCAAAAAAAAAAATCCAAAAAAGAATTTTGCTTTATTGAAAGAAAAACGTCTGAATTCACACTCTTTTGATGCTTTTTTAAAAACTAGAAGTGAGAGTGAGTAGGTTTAAAAGTACCCCTCGTGATATTAACAAGTATATTGAAAGTCTTCAAAAATCTATAGATAAGAATAAAGAACTGGAAAAAAGGTTAGCAGTGTTTGGCTTTTAAGTATTTATGATTTCATATTTAATAGCAGTGCACAAGGACTGGATATTTTTTATATGTCTGTCTTTGTTGTATAGTTGCATATATTTTGTCTCTCATGGTAGTACAGTTGCTTTAAGGATTATTCGTTTTGGTGACCCCACAAAAATGTTGAGCTTAAGTGTTTTTAAGTCATTTTAGTCATTCATATACTCTTTCCTCTACCACACTTATTACTGGTTTACAGTAAAATATATAACTTCTTAGATGTTTTTTAATTTTTGGAGTGAAATATTTTCAGAAAGCATTTATATTGAATCTTCAGAATGATGCATAAAGATGCTGTAGGAAAGTGTTAAGTTTAGATTTTACTTTTTAAAAAATTACCTTTTTTTTAAACTGTCTTAGATGGCCTAGATATTTATCTTAGCATTTAGAATTCTATAAATATTTAAATATCAATTGAATTTTGCAACCACAAAGTTTACTTACTTATTGTTAGGGTTTATTAAGTTGAACTCATTAATTTCAATTGCTGTATATTCCTTGCTTTGTTTCTTTGGATGTTGTTGTTGCACAAATTACCATCATACTTTGTAAATGTCTTTTAAAAGTATTTGCTTACTCAAATTCCTTCTCCCTTTCATAGAAATGGTTTGAGATATAGTTAAGTCTAAAAATAAAGAGGTACGGATACGTTTTCACGAGAAAATATTTGCTTATCCCAAATAATGAAAAACCATTTGAAATTTTTGATTTGGTCTCTTTTAGAAAAACATGATTTTCTGTTGTCTATTTTTGTTTTGACATGTTTTTCTTAAGATTTAAGAATAAAAATACATTCAGTTAAAAATAGTTCTAAAATTTAAATGCCCATTTTAATTAGCAATGAAATGTAGGTGGAATTTGGGTATTTTTCTCTTCTTATTCCTAATTTTATCACTATTATTTCCTTTCTCTTATATTTCTGTCTGAATTTTTCCTTTTGTAGGAAAGTGCTTCCTTGGCAGATAGATTGATACAGGTATAATTTTTTTAAAGCATTTTCTCTAACCTTAATTCTAAGGAAAATCCTAAACCTAAAAATTCATATTTTAATGCATGCAATTTTACATGCATTTTCTTAGAAATAATTTTTGGGTGGTATATGGGTTAATTTTTTATTATCTTGGTTTATTCAGTTCGGCACCTGTTGCACGTTTTAAAGCTAACCTTAATTTTTTACAGTATATATTCCAAAATGGCAATCAGTGAATTCTGTGTTATTAACCACTATCATTGAAAATTTTAGTCCTGCATGTACAACTCAGTAATACTGCATGAATTGAATTTTTATTGACTGAAAGAATCGAGATGGATTTTTCATTTAGATTCCCCAAAATTTGCTGGAGCAATAACAAACTGCTAGCTAATAATTACCTAGCCTGTTCTATTCTCTGAGGTGATTTTTTAAATGTCAAAGTAAATAACTAAACCTCACAAAGGCAGTTTTTCTTGAATCTATTCTAAATTGCTTTACACACAAAAAAATTATGTCCTAAGGGACAAGTGACAAGAGCCCAGGAGGCTGAGGAAAACTACCTCATAAAACGGGAGTTGGCCACCATCAAACAACAGAGTAATGAGGCCAGTGCTAAGCTGGAGCAGGCTGAAAATACCATCAGGAAGCTCCAGCACCAACAACAATGGGTAAGGAGTCTGGTAGTGCTTTTTCTCACCTTTCTCATCCCTTTCCCTTTAAACCAAAAAATAAATAAATGAATAAAGCACAACTTCAGTGCTCTTGTTTTTTATAATTTTGTTTTCTACTTTAATTGAACTCCATTTTATGTTCCATGATACTTAGAGGTGTTACTGTGGCCTAAAAACTCCTGTTCTATCTTCCCTGCCTTCACAGTTTTGTTACAAGCTAAATAATTGTCTTTCCTTACATTATGTTGTGTGTAATAATATATAAGCAATGTATGTCAGACCTGCTGTTCAATTCAGAAATCTGTCTCATAATAGGTAATCCTGACTTCGGCCAGTTTTTATTCATTGTGTAGATGAAATATTACCCAACATATATAATTGTCTCATTTAAAACTTTGATTATGTGGCAATTTATATCTTATGAAATACTATAGATTAGATTTCCTATATCAAGACGTTGAATTACGGGTTAAGGTGTGTGCCTACATTTTTTCAAGAAGAGAGAAGTTGTCTAGAGGGAAAAATATTAATCCTTTAGAAATTATATAAACTGACCTACATTTCTAAACAGGCACCAATTATATAACTAGCTTTAGTTATCTTTTGCAACTTAAGACATAATTTTCCATTGCCAAATTCAGATTAAGATTGTTTTAAGCATATAAAGGCTAAAAAGAAAAGTCCATTGTTTATCTTTGAAATATATTATTTCTTGTTTCAATTTTTTTTGTTTTTTTTGATACTGGGGATCGAAGTCAGGACCTTGCACTTGCCAGGCAGGCATGGTGCCACTGAACTAAATCCCCGGCCCACTTGTTCCAGTTTTCAAGTAGGACTTGGATTATAATAGGAGTAGGTAGAAAAAATTATGTTACTAAATCTAGAACTCTGCAGAGGATCTGGAAGGCAAATAGAATGACTACTAAGTTTTATATTTTTTTATTTAGTAAAATCAAGAAACAGCATCTCATCTAGGAACAAAAGTCAGAAAACTAAAGGAAGAAAAATTGCTAAACATGTATTTTTTCTATTATTTTACTGAAGATGGCTAAGAAAAATAAATTAAGTGATAAAATAATACTAAAAAGACTAGAGTGTAAGAATTTTATCCTGTCTTCATATGGAATATCTATAATATCAAAACATATAAAGAGAAAACAGAATTATTGAATCATTTTGGTAATTAGGCTAAAATGAATCACAAGTGCAATGTGATTTGTTTAGAAGGAAAGATATGTATTTTGCTTATATTTAGCATAAGTTACAGTCTTGTTATATTACAGTCTGGCCAGGGATGTAGCTCAGCGATGCTGTGCCTGCCTGGCAACCTCAAGCCTGAGTTCCATCCTTGGTACCAAAAAAAACAAAAACAAAAAAAAGAGACTTTCTTAGTATATTACAATCATGAATTAAGATTTTTTTTGTTTTGTTCTGTTTTGCTTTTTTCTGCTTTTTCAGTTACTGAAACATATAGGTAGATGTGGATCAAAAGGATAGTGTTGGTTTATAATGAAAAAGTTAAGCGAGCAAGCAAAAATGACCAGAATGTACTGAGGCTTTTGTAACTTTCTAAGTGTAAAACAGACATGTAAAATAGTGATGTGCGTGCAGAATAAATGAGACAGTAAAACAGCCTTGGTTAAATTTCTAATTTCAAGTTTCATATCATAAATATTAAAATGGCTTGCAGAATGACCATAGAAACAGTAAATGATTCTTAGAAAATGAGATATAGTATAGATCTTAAGGTGGACAATACATTTCTTAGAGAAAGTAGTAAATAAAGGTTAAATATCTGAAGAGTATCCAGTGACTTTAATGATCAGAAAAGCCTAGAACATCTGTCTTGTTAACAGATAAATGACTCACTAAAAGCCAATATGCCGTTCATGTCATTACAAATTAACATTATTTTATAATAAAAATGCCACTTACAACTTATTTAATAGGCTTTCTCATGGATATGTTTCAGGTCAGGGTAGAAAAATTAAGATGAAAGAAGCAAACTTAGTTGGTTTTAGAAGTGATTAACTATATCAAGAAATTATGTTCCCATGATGATATATCAGAGGTCCTTATCTCTTAAACCTATGCATGATGTATTTCATATTTAAATGTTCACATATAAGGCATGTTTAAGAATTTTATACATGAAATATTTCAAAATGGAGCTAATATATTAGATTATGGATCAGTCAAGATTCCAAAATATTTTAGTTCATGACTTTTTTAAACTTTAAAATTCTTTCAGTGCAAAGATCAAATCACATATACATTTAATGGGTTTTTAAAGTTAGTGCATAGGAGTTATATGGAATAACGAGATTCATTTGGTATATCTGTACATGTATGTAACATATTTTGATTATTTTCTTCCCATCCTTCCCCCCTTTCTTCTTTCTTCTTCATCTCTCAAAGTCTACCTTCTAGTTTCCCATCATCTACTGAGTCATTTTTGATCAAGATTTTTATTTTAGCTCTTCGTTTTTTCCTTTTTTCAAATATAACTACAAGCCAATTAGATAGACATGAGGGAAAGAAATGTGAGTACTGCTTTATTCTGTAGTTTATTATCAAGAGACCAAGGTCAGTTTATGAAACATTTTATATTTTGTTCAGTCCTATATGATTATGTTGTCTTTATCTTATAATGGAATGAGTGTATTTGTTCATTTGAAAACTAATATGCAAAATATTTAGCGTGGAGCATACAACAGTAAAGAAAAAGAAAGTTTGCTATTATATGAAGTGTTCTGGTTCAGGAGACACGTTAAACAGAAATATAATTTCAGATAAAGGGTATGAAGAAAAAATAAAGCAGGAGTGAGTTTGTTAAGTTTGAGTGCAATTGTAGATAAGGTGGTTGTGGAGCACTTCCCTGAGGATGTAACATTTGACCAGAGACTGAATGATATGTATGTAATAGAAATGATATTATGTAATAGAAAATCATTTGAAGATCTGAAAGGAAACAATCCAGATAAAAAGTACACTTAATATGTTTTCAACTCTTTTTTTTGGTACTGGGGATCAAACTTGGGTTCTTGCGCTTGCAAGGCAGGCGGTGGAACCACTGAGCTAAATTCCCAGCCCACAAGTACACTTAATTATTAATTATTGAGGGAAAGGATAGTCTCTTTAATGGTGCTGGGAAAACTGGATAATCTCATGCAAAATGATGAAATCGGACCATGAGATACACTATAAATAAACACTAACTTCAATGGATCAGTAGTCAAAATACCATAAAATACAAGTTTTGTGGTTTTAAAATAATCTGTTTATGCATGCATAAACATGCATGTAACATTTTTTGGTGGTTTTGCTGTTGTTGTTTTTTGTTTTGTTTTTGGTACCAGGGTTCGAACTCAGGCCCTCACACTTGCCTGTTTGTTTTTTGAGATGAAGGTCTCAATAAGTTGGTCAGGCTGGCTTTGAACTCAAGGTCCAAGTAGCTGGTATTACAGGCATGCATTTTGTGGTTTGAAACCCAAAAATCCTCAGAATAACACATAAGAGATAAATCTTTATGACTTTGGACTTGACAGTTGATGTAGATGTGGATTCTCAGGCAACAACAGAAAAATGCTTTGAACTTCATCAAAATTTTAAAAATATTATCAAAGAGATTATTAAGTAAATGAAAAGGCAGCCTGCAAAATGGTAGAAAATATTTGTGAGTTACATATTTGATAAGGATTTAGTAGGCAAAATCTGTAAAGAACTCATAAAACTCAACAAAAGTAACCCAGTTATAAAATGGGCAAATTACTTGAATGAATCTTTCTCCAAGGAAGATGCACAGTTGGCCAATAGACATATACGTTTCTCAGTGGAATGTTAGTAACAGCTTCTATGGAAAACAGTGTAATAACTCCTCAAAAAGTTAAACATAGAATTACCCTATTATCCTAGTTGTATACCCAAAAGAATGAAATATTAGTACTCAAAGAAGTACGTATGCACACGTTTATAGCAGCATTGTATATTTTGAAAAGTAGACAAAATCTAGAAGTCCATCAGTGGATGAATGGATAAATTGTCATATATATAAGGGATGATCATAATATATGGAGGAATCCTTAAATCTAAAAATTAAAACAGTAAAAGTCACATTGCCATTAATCCCCCTCAAAATTATGCTCCCTGCTTCAGTTACACTTATCCTATTGTTCTTACCACTTTCTGAAGCACTTCTGAAAGTCCTCTTTTGTGAGTGTCTTTACAAGATGTGATAAAAAAAAATGAAGTGAGTGCTATTCAGCAAAATATATGCTTGTAAAAATATCACAGTGTGTTCATCCACCTTATTTACCACATCTGGTACAGTGCAACTTTGGGCTCTTCCCCAAAGTTGTAATTACTGTGAAAGGTAAACATTTTGAATTGATTCAGGATGTCAAGGCAGCCAACATAGCACAAATAAAAACACTCAAGAAGAAGGATTTGCAGAACTGCTTCAGAAAGTGGAGAGAATGATAAGTGCGCGCATGTTGTGGGGGGTGGTGGTATTTTAGGAGAACGCATGACAGTATGTCTTCTTTTTCCCCTCTCCAGCTGCTGTCTTTTTAAAAAGTTATTTTTTATTGGTATATGTTTGCAATGCATAAACATTCCTCTTGGGCAATAGTTACCTATACGTATTGATTTGGATCACTTGTACTTCTCCTTTCCCTTCACCTGCCCTCTGGCAATATGTCTTTTACTGTAATACTTTTTTCAAAAAATTAAATATTCACTGTATTTTTGATCACACCACTTATACATACAGTGGAATGTTATTCATCCATAAAAAGGAATAAACTACTAGTAATGCTATACTGTCAGTGAACCTCCAAAATCCTTAAGCTATGTGAAAGAAGCCAGGTATAAAAATACATATATTATGATTCCATTTATAGGAAATATTTTAACATAAATTCATTCAGAACAGAATATAGGTTATTGGTTTCTAGAAAATATGTAGTCATGGGTGAGAACTGCTTCATAGATAAGGG